AAAAAAAAAAAAAAAAAAAAAAAAAAAAAAAAAAAAAAAAGGCAGTGAAGTGATTTCTCGTGATATTCTGCTATACTTATAGATCCATGCCTAGCCCAGTTGCCATCAGAAAGGCTTCTTCTAGAAGCTGATAGGAGCATATTCAAAGACTCACAGCCAAACATAAGTCAGAGCTCAGGGAAAGAAGGTGAGGAAGGATTGTAAGAGCCAGAGGGGTCAAAGACACCAGAAGAACACGGCCCACAGAATCAACTGAGCAGGGCTTATAGGGGCTCACAGAGACTGAAGTAGGACTCGCAGAGCCTGCTTGGGTCTATACTATGTCATTTACATATGTGTTGTGATTGTTTAGCTTGGGGTTCTTGTGGGACTCCTAACAGTGGGAGTCGGGGTGTCTCTGACTCTTTTGCATATTCTTAGGACACTGCTCCTAATGGGTTGCCTTGTCCAGTTGATATAAGGGTTTTATTGCATCTTGTAATGCCGTATTTGGTTGATACCCCTGGGAGACCTTCTTTCTGAAGGGAAATGGAAGTGGTGGATGTAGGGGAGGGGACTAGGAGAAATGGATGAAAGAAAAGCAGCAAACGGGATGTATTTTATGAGAGAAGAATAAATAAAAGCAAAAAAGCAGAGACCAGCATAAATGAGGCAGAATCTTCTGGGAAGTGTTTCCTCGGGGTGAGCACACAGAAGCTGTGATCTAGACAGAGCCAAGGCTGTGTCTGGTGCAGGCAAACTTGGTAATATGTTTTTCAGGTAGTACTTACTGGTCATTGAGACTGGTCAAGCTGGACTCCAGTGGAATCGTTACTGTAGTCCATCACCAGTTCCCCATCTGAGGTGAAAAGGCATTTGTTCACCTCTCCCTGGGGAAAGTCATACAGCAGCTGGCCACTCCTGTAAGCTCAGGCTAAAATTAATGTGAACTTCGACCTAAATTAGAACTGAGGGTGATGAGGAAAAGGGGAAGATAGCCAAGCTGCAACCAGAAGGACCAGCAACAAACAGACTGGATAGACTCCATGTGAAGAAGTTGCCTTTGATTGCGCTCCAATCCCAGTTCTGATTGGGACTCAGATGCGACCTGGGCCACTTCCTACTGTCTGTAAGCCTTGACCCCTCAGACTAGAGATAGAAGGACGGTATCTCAGGAGGTCCTAGTTCCATCCTGAAGGGAGGCAGGAGTAAGGAAAGGACTACACTGGAAGGAGAAAGAAAACACAGGGGAGGTAACATGGACCAAAATCCTGAAAACCACACTTGTGAGTGCCTGTTCTCCAACACAAGCAACTGCCATCTTGGGGCATTCAGCCACACCCCCCGCAAAAATCATCCAGCTGGGCTTGTTGATGGTTTACACCCCCCAAATGGAGGGGTGGAGAGGGCATGGGACTCTTACCTGGGTATCACACTCTTCCCCACAGCCTGTTGAGTACAACTCTGCCTTAACTGGTGAGGGCTATGGAAAAGCCTTCACCCCTTCTGGCAAAGGTTTTTCAGGTACAGGCCTTGCTGTGAGGAGGGAGGGGCCACACACCCCTGTAAGTAACCCCTCACCTAGACTCTGTCAGGGAGCAAAGAAACTCTTTGGTTCTCCAGGGTGAACTTCGGTGGAATCATGCCTTGGTTTATCGCTGGGACCTTAGAAGGAGGGGAGATGTTGCTTATGTCTCCCTAGGAAGGGACTTTAGCAATAACACTGTTTCCCAGGTAATGTGCAGGTTGTGGACTCTCGCTGGGTGAGTTTCCCACTGAGCTCCAGACTCCCCAACTCTGAAGTTCCTGGGCATGCCAGTGAAATATAACATGGGGACAATGAGATAGAGAAGACTCTCTGTGGGTGACAAGATATTTATTGAGTATTGGGCACAGGAGAGAGAGTGGGGGGCGGGCAAAATAGACCTTTATTCCGGCACTTCAGATCCAGGCCCCTGAGGCTTCAGGGAGGATCATGGTCTAGGAACACTGAACAGGTGACACGCTCTTCTCCACAGTGTTCCCTTCATGAGTGACCTGGCAGCTGTATCTGCTGTGAGGTGTCCACTGGTCAGAGGTCAGTGTCAGGTAGCTGCTAGCTGTGTACTTGTTGTTAGTCTGCTTGGAAGGCTGGGTTGTCTCTATACCCTGCGTGACAGGGATTCCATCCACTTTCCAGTTCACCGTCAAAGTGCCTGGGTAGAATTCGCTCACCAGACACACCAGTGTGACCTTGCTGGCCTGGAGATCCTTCAGGGAAGGCAGGAACAGCGTGACCAAGGGGTCAGACTTGGGCTGACCTGTGCAGATAGAGAAGGGGATGAGAGATGTCCCAGGAGAGCCCAAATGACAAGGAAGCACCCTTCTCCTGACAGGAGCTCTGTGACCATTCATGATACCATCAGAGTTCCATCCTAGGACCCTGCTTCCTTCTTCTTTTCAGTCCACTCAAGTCCTCTAGAGAGCAGACAGCCTGGTACCTTATTAAGTGACATGACCCAGACCCAGACCCTTACAATCTCAGTTTCCCCACTAGGCCCAATGCTGACTCTGTTCCTGTCTCCCAGTAGCTAGAGTCTGAATTGGGACCTGACGCTGACCTCCTGTACATCCATCCACTCTGATTCAGCCCCACCACCTTCACTACTTCTTCACTGCTCAGAGACTCCCCTATGAACTGGAATACTCCTTTATTCTGGGAGCTTGGTCCTGGGGAGTAGATATTGAGGTGTGCCTGCTGTCTAAGGGCTCTGGTGCCTGGGCTCCAGACTCCATTCAGTTATGTCACCAAGGATTAGATTCCGTCCGGAAAAACCCTAGGAACTTCTCCAAGGATCTGACACTTTGTGCACAGTGGTTACCTAATCACAGGACCCTGCATTGGCTGTGTTCCTGGGGCTCCATCTCCCAGACTATGATGATAGCAACCCCCTGAGCACCCCAGAAGTCTCTGGTGACTTTTGATTTCATTTGGCACCATTTGCTCCCTCATTCCTCATCTAAGTCTAAGGATATCTAAGAAAGAAGGACAAGAGAAACACCTCGCCAAGTTAGCGACCAGGCCCCAAGCCTGAGAGAGCCCAAGAGCAATTGACAGTCTACATTCTTTTTTCTAGTAAGCATCCCAGGAGGACCAGGTTCTAGTTACCTTGTCACCTTGAGCCTTTGTGTGTCCCTGAAACCTCGTGGCCCAGTCGAAAATTAGAGGCCTGCAGCCTAGACTGAGCCAGAACCGTCTCCCGGCCTC